TGTATCTTTGCAAATTCCTTTGTACCTCCTGAGTAATCTCACTATATCTCTCTTTTGATCTTTCTATAAATACAAAAACACAGTAACAAATTCTTTAATGTCTCCAGATTTGTTAATCTAACAGTTAGAAGTTCACTTGGGAACTGCCCATTTCTCCTTCATTCTCATTTTTCTTTCCTCTGTCCTCCTCTATTCACTTACTACTGGACACATCTGTACTTTCTCATTGTCTTCTGTGATAGTACTGTTTCAACATGTTTCCATAACATAATAGATTCTTTTCCCTCCTATCACATTGTTATCACTATTTAAATAATACTCTTCCTTTCTGTGTTTCGCACTAAAGTATATAACTTCACATCTAGCATGTTTTCCTACACGTGCCATGTGTTTGCTATTCACTCAATTTGTCTAAATTACCTTGAAGACTCTGCACCCTCTTTACAACTCATGGTCCTACCCGGTTTTGTGTCAGCAGCAATGTTGCATCAATGATCCCTACAAAGTGGTTAAGAAGGTTAGTAAGGTGACATAGCTAATTGATGCTCCGATAGGTACCATTAATAGCAAGGGCCAAAGAAATTTCTGTTTTTGTCACATCAAATGGATTGTACTAATGCTGATTTAACCATTTAGATTTAAGAATGCCCCAGCCACTTTTCAATGAGTAATGAATAGACCTACAGCTGAAGTACCTAACTGCGTAAATTACTTGGATGATATTGTAGCACATTGTGACCACATGAAAGGGACATATAAAATAGTTAAGAGTACTTGTTTAAATGATTGCAGCCAACCAGGTTGATCTTAAAGCAGGCAAAACGTGAGTTTGCAAAGTCAGAAATAATGTTTTGGAATGTGTCGTAGGGTCAGGACAAATGTCACCCAGAACAGCAAAAGCCAGAGCTGGAGATCCACACCACTACAAGGAAATTAGATATAATTTGGTTTTTGGGAATGTGCAGACTGTATCTGTACAATAGCTGTATCCTTAATGAACTTGCTACAGAAATAAGTGAAGATGGTCAACAATTGATAGCAATCTTAACAAATGAACCTGTAATAACAACATATAACTTAAACAAAACTTTTAAAGTAGTAGGTGCTAGTGATTTGGGGATTGAAGCAGTTCTCTTACAGGATAACAAAGCCAAAATGGAGATGCCTTGGGTATTTTTAACCAGGAAATTGAATCAACATCATAAAAGATATTCCACTACCGGAAAGGAGACATTGGTAGTGTTGGCAACTTTTTAACACTGAAGTTTATGGGGACACGGGGATTGAAAGACTTTGGTTTCTACTGATCATAGTTCATTAACTTTAATTGAAATATTTAAGACTAAAAATTTGGCATTGTTCTGTTGAAGTTTGTTATTGCAACTTTTTCATGTAAAAATTGTAGAGTTTTCAGGGAAAGAAAATGTAATTGTTGATGTTTTATCCCAAATATAAACTGTTGAAAATTTAAGAATGTAACCAAGAAAATTGTACAGTGGAGGAAGCATTGGAAGCGATTAGTTTTGTACCTTGTTTGTCATATAAATGGTACTTACCCATTCAAGCACGCATTTTTTCAAATGATGTTTCATTCTTCAAAGATGGATGCTTGTAGAGACGCTTGCTATTTTTCTTTTGTAGTGATCATTTTGTTTCAATTTGGAACTGTGAGTTAAGGTTAAGAGTCTAACTTTGAATAGCAGTTTGCTTTAAATGAGAAGAGAATAAGGACAGAGGTTTTCTGTTGGGAATTGGCCTTGAATATTTGGCAACTTATTGTTCAAAGGACACTGTAGATGAATTGGCATGCAGCTGTTCGTATGCTCGGTGCTGGCAGCTGGTTGGATGTTGAATTGGTCACTCAAGGGAGGACTGTGCTAACCAGCTTACAACAGAGAATATTGATTGGGAAGAGAAAAAAATGGTTCTGAACTGGGCTTTGTCAGGAGGTAGCGTGATTATTTTTGAAAACGTCCAGGGACTACTAAGGTGTTATACTCTTTCTAGTTTTCTATTCAGTTATCAAAGTATTGAATGTTCTTGCAAAAGAATCCTAGTCTATAAAAAAAAGTAACTACGTTTCTATAAGTCTGCTGAAACTGCATTAACCAAAAGAACTGTGGATGCTGTAAATCAGACACAAAAACAGAAATTGCCGGGAAAGCTCAGCAGCTCAGGCAGCATCTGTGAAGAGAAATCAGAGCTAACGTTCTGGGTCCAGTGACCCTTCCTCAGAACTCACAGATGCTGCCTGACCTGCTGAGCTTTCCCGGCAATTTCTGTTTTTGTGTCTGATTTATAGCATCCACAGTTCTTTCGGTTAATGCAAACAGTTTCAGCAAACTTACAGAAACTAAGAAAGAATATACTTGCCATCAAGGACAATCAAGTGCCTTGGATGTTCAGTAGGTTAATACCAGGAATGTCAGGAGTGTCCTATGAATATCCTATTGCTTTGACTGGGACTGTATTCACCAGAATTTAGAAAGATGAGAGGGGATCTGATTGAATTCTATAAAATTCTAACAGGGTTGAACAAGACTAGATGCAAAAAGGATGTTTTCCCAATGGACAGAGTCTCAGAATATGGGGGAGACCATTTAGGACTGAGATGAGAAAAAAAGTTCTTCACTCCAAATGTAATGAACCTGTGGAATTCTCCATCATAGAAGGTTGTGGAGGCCAAGAAATATATTCAAGAAAGGGATAAAGAGCATCTTAAAATTTTAAGGCACCAAGAGGTAAGGAGATAAAGTGGAAATCTGGCATTGAGATAGAGGATCAGCCATGATTATATTGAATGGTGGAGCTAGAATGGTCAAAAATGTCTTCTCCTGACCCAGTGCCTCCACCAAGACTCCTTTGCCTTGCTATTGGCAAGATGTTGGTCATTGTGGCTGCCTTCTTAAGAAAGCAAGACCGATACAGGAGGTCCAGGGGCCATAGAAAGCCCAAAACTAGCAGGCCAGTGCATTGGAAAAAGAGCACATATCAGCGAGTGGTCACTGCAAGACCCTTCAGGATGTGTGGAATGCGCAGGAGGCTCAGAGATTTTGGATCTCTACTCCATTTCCTGGGGATGAGCAAGGCACAGTGCTGACACAGGCTTCATATGTTCCTGGATCAGGCAGAAGTTAGGAGTGGGAGCTGAGGACAGGCAGGTATGACAGGCCATCTCATTCCACAAGTTTGAAAACCATTGCAGTACTGAGCCTCTATGGTATTGGTTTCATTCAGGGAGTGCTGGGTGATCCATGTGGGATGTCTTAGTTGTAGATCCACAAATGCATTAGGACTATGCCCAATGCCATCTGTGCAAAGTCATGCTGGTTCAACTTGCTCCCTATGAAATGAGGTCGGTGTTGCAGTATGACTCAGAAACACAGCTGGCTTCCCCAGGAGCAGGGTATCATCAACTATACACACATGGTACTGCGAGGGCAGTGTCACAACAATGGAATTTCTCAATAGGAAGGAGTTCCATTCCTTTTTATGTCCAGCTGATCTGTGTACCCACCACTCTGGCAACTGCCATGACTCCAACATCCTGGAACAATTTATTTTGCCTGGTGAGCTTGGGGGTTTAGGTTGGTTATTGGGGGGGTAAGAATTATCCACAGTGACATGGATCATGATACAATTGTGCTATCCCTTGACCGATGTAGAGTGGGAGGAAAGTCGATGTTTCGGCCTGAAAAGTTGACTTTCTTGCTCCAGGATGCTGTCTGACCTGCAGTGCTTTTCCAGCTCCACAAAAATTGACTCTAGATTTCAGCATCTGCAGTCCTTACTGTCTCCAAGTCATCCTATCTGCTTTGCCCAGCATGCTCCTGATTTTGAAACCTCAACGAGATCTCCTCTCAGCCTTCTTCTCTAGAAGGAAAACAATTCAATTTCTTCGATCTCCCCTCGGCTGAAGTTTATCATACTTGGAACCATTCTAGTAAATACATTTGCATCTTTCCTGTAATATACCACCTACAACTGTACACAAGACTTCAGCTGAGGTCTAATAAGTCTTTTGTACAAGTCAACATTACGTCCTTGCTCTTTGCCTGTTTAATACAACTGTATACTTTACTAACTGCTCTCTCCACCTGTCTTGCTGACCTTAATGATCTGACCCTGCACCGTTTTAATGAAATGAGTTTGGTCAGTGAGGAAAGTCTCTGGGTCTTGTGATAAAAATAGCTTGACACAACTCACTTAGTTCAAAATATTTAATATTCACCCCTTTATCTAGTTCAAATGCTTTTCCTAAAAACGGATTTTAAAATGGCTGATATTGAACAGCAAATATGCAAGTTGATTGATTCCAGAAATGTCCAACAATTACCAAGTCAAAAGTGAACTCAGCAGCTCCTTGAATGTGACACATATTGCATTGTGTGAACTTTCCAGCCAAACCATTTTCAGTTCAATGTTTTGTAATACACTTTTACAAATTTTAATAGAGCATCTTCTTTTGTAAAAAAAAGGGAAATAAATGGAAAGACATGTTAATGGAGTGAGATGAAGTAAGATGGAGGAGGCTAATGATGAGCATAAATGCTGATACAAATCAGTTGGATCAAAACCAAGTTTCTACAGGATACATTTTATGAAATTCTATGCACGTGACCTTTGAGCAGAGGTCTGGTTATTGTGCACACCTGGCAAGTGTACCTAGTGGAGATGGCTCTAAAGAAAGAACATGAATGAGCAGTAGTAAGCATCATTATTCTCCAAAGTGCCTTTTTGGTAATTAGTCCTTAGAACTTCCATTTAGCTTTGGTTAACTCACAACCAGTCATCCTACACATTTATGGAAGAATATCATGCAGAAACACAAAATATAGAATGCTGAAGGGACTGATTCTAACTTTCCCTTGAGGTGTACTCCTGTACAGTGAGCACCAAGTCAGAACAAAGACTCACAAATTCTCCTAAGAGCTCTAGCAATATCAGTTGTGTCCCCCTTAGAAAATGCTTCAGTCAAAATGCTTTTAAATTCTACTTACTTTTCATTGTCTTGACTGCCACTTTGAGAATATAATCATCCTGGTTCAATTGTCCTTCCATCACAGAGCCAAACTCTCCTGAAGGAATAAATAAATCGTACATTACATGAAAGAGATCAAAACGGACAACATATTCCATTTTCCATGAAAAAGTTAATCAGGGCTCTATAAACCAGCATGGTCATAATTGACCTGACAAGATGGATCAGGCATGAATGATTCTATTGAATGGTGATTTGGATCAAGAGACTGGATGCCCTCCATCTCTCCTGCATTCTGAAGTACAGCTACTGAGTACACCAAATGGTATGTGGCACTTTCAGAGATGCTGAGGCCATAGATTGTACCAATGTGTTGCCTAATGTATGCCATCTTCCAAGTTTGGACATGACTTCCATGTGGTAAATCTTAATCCCAAAAAGATCCTATTCCAGTTCCAATCCTAAATTGAATCTCAAACTCCATCTAATCCTAGTAAATAATCTTAATTCCAATGTTAATTTCAATATCAACCATTAATTGAAATCTTAATCTCAGTTTCAATCCAATTGTCAACTACACTGTCAATTCCAATCATAATTCAAATCGCAATCATTTTCCTAAACCCAATTTCAATACCAATCTCAATGACAGTTAATCACAATCCACAAGTCAAAACGCAACCCATATCCCACTCCCAATAATAAACCAATTCTAAATTCCAAACCCAATCCTGTTATGATGCCTGGTGTATAAATACTGGATAAAATGGATCTTTGTTATGATCTGGTTTGATAAAGTGTAATCTTTTAAAGGCTACAATGAGTAGAAGAACCAATGGTAAGAAAATAAGTGCCGGGTTCCAGGGTTGAATTCATAGATCATCATAGATCATAGAATCCCTACAGTGTGGAAACAGGCCCTTTGGTCCAACAATTCCACACTGACCCTCAGAACATCCCACCAAGATCCATCCCCCTAATCTACACCTCCTTGAACACTACGGGCAATTTAGCATGGCCAATCCAACTAGCCTGCAGATCTTTGGACTCTGGGAGGAAACCAGAGCACCCGGAGGAAATCCATTCAGACATGGGGAGAATGTGCAAACTCCACACAGTTTAAGTCAAAAAAATCTTTACTACAGAATGAGAACAAAACAGACATATGCAACAATGATTAGACTGAACAGGATAAGATAATTATACTAAACCATATACTCTAACATTCAGGATTAACATGAGATAATTTTGAGTTAACAAGCAGAACTGTGATCAAACACTAAAGTTTGCACTTTAAGTGATGTAGGCAAGACAGATCCCATCCAGGTCTTAGAAACAGTGGGTTTCCACATGTCATTAAGTCATTGTCTCATTCACAGTAAAGATCTAATGCCTGCTCACATATTGGCTGTCCAATCTCTGCTCCTGGGGTCAAATTTTCCACTTTGCTTGAGGCTGATTTCAAGTGTCGAATTGCCACCACAATTTCAAGTTTTATAAAACCTCAGTGAACTGTCACTGAATTTCTCTAATCAACAGTCTTTCTCAGCTTCATCAGGCAAATACTGTTGTGGGCTTCTTTAACTGCAGTTTTGTCTACACTGAGCTACCATGGCTCCCAGGTCTTCTTTTTAGCTATGATGTGGAGGTGCCAGTGTTGGACAAGGTCAGAAATCACATGACACCAGGTTATAGTCCAACAGGTTTAGTTGAAATCAAAAGCTTTCAGAGTGTAGCCCCTTTGTCAGGTGAAGTGAGAGAGAAGCACATAGAACACAGAATTTATAGGCAGAAAGATCAAGGGCAGAGAGATCAAAAGATTGTACAAATGGTATGAGTGGAGTGTTGCATAATAATTCCCTACGGGTGATCTAGGTATGGGTAAAGTGTCAACAGCTGGATAACAAATGAAGGGAAAACCTATAATCCAATTAAATAAGGCAGAGAGATAATTACAAATAAAAATAAGGTGGTGCTGGAAAGAAACCAAATGACTGAAATAACATGATAGGTACAAGAGTCGCATCCAAAGGGTCTAACCAAAGTAATAAATAATCCAAAACTGTACAAACTAATTAAGGTAGAGAGATCATAACAATTTATCCAGGTAATGGTGACAACACAGGACAGTAAAGAAGATTTTACAGATACAGAACAGTGTGGTGAGGTCATATGTAGCGCAACATGAATCCAAGATCACAGTTGAGGCCATTTTCATGTGTACAGAACTTGGCAATTCTGCATTGTTGTGTATCTTGAAGGCTGCCTTGGAGGATGCTTACCCGAAGATCGGAGACTGAATATCCTTGACCTCTGAAATGTTCCCCGACTGGGAGGGAACATTCCTGTCTGGCAATTGTTGCATAGGGTCTATTCATCCGTTATCGTGACGTCTGCATGGCCTCACCAATATACCATGCCTTGCGGCATCCCTGCTGCAGCATATGCGATAAACAACATTGGCCATGTCACATGAGTAGCCGCCATGTACATGGTGGGTGCTGATCCCACGTGTGATGGTTGTACCTGTGTCAATGATCTGGCATGTCTCGCAGAGGTTGCTGTGGCAGGGTTGTGATCAATGTTCTCCTGAAGGATGGGTAGTTTGCTACGAATGATGGTCTGTTTAAGGTTTAGCGGTTGTTTGAAGGCAAGAAGTGAAGGTGTAGGGATGATCTTGGTGAGATACTCTCAAAGCTTGTGATTTCAAATATACCTGTTGGACCGTAACCGGGTGCCGTGTGACTTCCGACTTTCTTTTTAGCTGTAAGCTTTTTCCATGACACAGAGCTACCATTCCCTGGAATTACCCTGAGTTCTAACTGTCTGGACTCTACCAATAGAACCGCAAGTGCTCGCTGAAGCCATTTTTGTTTCCACATTCTCTCACCTTAAAGCTGCATCTAAATCTTCTCTCAGCAAATACACAGCTAAATTGAACCCAGAGAGAATTTCCCACACTCCACACACCTGCATGATGACATAGTCTGGTCCTGAGGAGTCTTTAATTTTTTTTTTACTCGCTCATGGGATGTGAGCGTCGCTGGCTGGGCTGGCATTTATTGCCAGTCCCTAGTTACCCTTGAGAAGGTGGTAGGGAGCTACTTTATTGAACCGCTGTAGTCCATGTGCTTTGGTAAATGCACAAGACCATTAGGCAGGGAATTCCAGAATTTTGATTCAGCAACAGTAAAGGAATGACAATATGTTTCCAAGTCAGGATGGTGAGTGGCTTGGATGGGAACTTGGGCGTGGTGATAGTCCCATGTAATCTGATCTTTAGGTTTACTGATTGCTTTTAAGCTACTTTAGCTCTACTTCCTTTTGGACTGCCATGATTGCAAATTTTGCAGACCCCATGTCTCCAGCTGCTGTTTTTATAACCCCACCCCTTCTATTCTGAATCTATTGAACAAAGTAGCCTTTCAATTGTCATTTGTTTTAAATGATCACAACACCCAGCATTTTAATTACTTTACCTTTCTAGCATTAACTTCTTAAAGAAGAATAACCACAATATGAAGTGCATCAGACTTCAAGAAGTTTGAATTGCAATCATCTTATATTCAATTGTTGAATTTTAATTCCCCAAAACTAAGTTACAAACAAAAACTCTTGTACCATTAACTAAAAATTCGCAATAATCCTAAATAATAGTTGAAATGTACAATTTAACTCTTGAATGAAGTCAGAATTGGAAACAATAGAGCTTGGTGGAGTCTAAAATGGAGAAGTGCTGGAACTATTGCATGTGCTGCTATCTGCAGGACACTAGATCAGGATTCATTGGAGGAGCTGATTTGAGGTTAGGACGTATTTATGATAAGCTTTCGACTGGGAGGTTAAACACGGTTACCAATATCTCAGGAGTAAAACAACATGCTGTTTGATGGGATCGGTTAGTTAGAGCAAGGATACCATGTAATAAAGCCGCCACTTTGTGGCAAACCAGAGTTGACAACCATACTGGCTGTTGGCATCATGTTAGGTTCTGGTCATCAGGAACAATGAGTTGGATTAATAAAAGATTTAGTCACATTCCCAGCACATCTTGTATTGCAGCCATTGTTCTCAATCAGTGCGCTGTCAAAATGTTTGGCATCGTTAATTCACAATAACGCTTACACAGAGTAAATCTCTGACTGGATTGATGTAAGAAGATAGCAAAATCTCCTGACCCTCTCTTATGGCATTTTCACCTCTTTGTCCATATTAATGTTCTTAATTAAACTCAACTACAGGCAAAAACAATTAATTAGAAACAGTAGATTACTCAGAGGGCAGGGATGTAGGATCCCATGGACCTTCTCCTTATATGCTTAAAGAAAGTTTCTCACTCTTTCACTTTTTCTAAATACTTCTATGTAATTGTAATGCGGCCCAAATTTAGCTGTCACCACTCCACAATCATTCCAACTTGTCAGAGCCCTAGACTGATTCTACGTTCATTCTGATGGGATACGCCAGCACCATTTCTAGGTTTCTCCCTGTAACCATGCTTATGTTCTTACCTTCTCCCAGAGTCTTGCCCAGTGTTAACTTGTGTCGGTCAATCATCACATCCTGCAGCTTCTCTTTGAGGTCATCACTTATTCCCAGCGTGTTCACTGCAACAGAAGGAGGGAAGGAAAAGGTCACAAAGAATTAGTAAAGTCCCTGCTGTTCAGTAAGAAAGCTGAGCTGGTCTTTTTACCCCCTTGTAATAAGCTCAAACCAAGTTTCAATGAGAGTGAAATTGAGCTGACAACAGTTACAACCTAGATATACTTCAGGACTAAAAACATTAAAACTGTGAGGAAGTATAACTATTAAGGCAGACTGAGGAGGTCAGGATATTTTTTCTCTAGGAGAGAAGTTTAAAAAGTGTCCTTGGGTGACAGTATTAAATTGGGGTATGGTTAACTACCATAATAACAGACAGGAATTGAGGAATGTAGATTGGGAGCAGCTGTTTGCAAATCTACACCTGGCATGTGAGAATCTTTTAAAGGCCAGTTGTTTAAAGTTCAGGACCAGCATGATGGGAGGCAAAGTGGCCTAGCGGTTAACACTGTCACCTCACTACGCCGGGGACCCGTGTTCGAATCCAGCCTCGGGTGACTGTATCTGTGGATCCACTGGGTGCTCTGTTTTCCTCCCACAGTCAAAAATGTGCAGATTAGATAGATTGTCCTGTAGTGTCCAAGGATCTTTAAGCTAGTTGGATTAGCAACAGTGAATGCGGCATTATGGGAATAGGTTGGGTGGCTGAGTCTGGATGGGATGCTCTTCAGAGGGTTGGTGCAGACTTGATGGGCCAAATGGCCTCTTTCTGCTCTGTAGAGGTTCTTTGATTCTATGCTCCCGTGAAAATGAAGGATAAGAATTGCACCTTGGATGACAAGAGGTTAGTCAAAAAGAAAAGGAGGCATGCGTTAGATTTAGGAAACTGAAGACAGGCAAGTCTTTGAAGAATACAAAGATAGCAGGAATAAAACTCAAATAAGGAATTAGGAGGGCTAAAACAGGCTATAAAATGTCTTTGGCAAACTGGATTGAGGAAAATCCCATGACATTTTATACATCTGTAAGAAGCAAGAAGGTAACTAGGGAAAGTTAGCTCCTCTCATAATGAATACTTTGCATCAGTATTCACAAAGGAGCAGGACACAGTGCATGGTGAGCCTCAGGACAGGTAATGTTGATATTCTGGGACATGGTAATATGAAAAAAGGAAGTGGCATTGGGTGTTTTAAAACGCATTAGGGTACACAGGTCCCCAGGGCCTGATGTGATCTATCCCAAAATGCTGAGGAAGGCAGGTAAGAAAATTGGGTGGGCTTTGTCCAAAATCTTTATAGCCTCCTTGGTCACAGCAGAGGTCCCAGAGGATTGGAGAATAGCCGATGTTGTTCCTTCATTTAAGGAGGGCAACAGGGACTATCCAGGAAATTACAGGCTAGTGATATTTATGTCAATGGTAGAGAAAGTATTAGAGAAGATTCTTAGGGTTAAGATAAACTCAGATTTGGAAAAATATGGACTTATTAGCGATAGGCAGCATGGCTTTATGTGAGGGAGGTCATGTCTCATAAACTTGATTGAGTTTTCTGAGTAAGTGACAAAGTTTGATTGATGAGGGCAGGGCGTTAGATGTTGTCTATATGACAAGGATCCTCATGGCAGGCTGATCCAAAAGATGAAGTCACATGGGATCTGCAGTGAACTGGTAAGATGAATACAGAACTGGTTTAGTCATAGAAGACAGAGAGTAGCCATGGAAGGGTGTTTTCCTGAATGGAGGTCTGTGACCAGCGATGTTCCACAGGAATCAGTGCTGAGACTCTGTTGTTTGTATTATATATAAACCATTTGGAGGAGAATGTAGGTGACGTGATTAGTAGGTTTGCAGATGATTCAAAAATTGGGGGAGCTGTGGACAGTAAGGAGAATTGCCAGCGGATACAGCAGGATAAAGATTAGCAGAAGTCTTCGGCAGAGAAACTGCAGATGGAATTTAATCCAGGCGAATTCGAAGTGATGCATTTTGGAAGATCTAATGCAAGAGGCAAGCATTCATTAAATGGCAGAACCCTCAGTACCATCAACATACAGAGGGATCTGGGCATACAGGTCTACAATCTCCTGAAAGTGGCAACATAACTGGATAAGGTGGTCAAGGTGGTGTTTGGCATGCTTACTTTCAACGAGTAGTGCAGAGAGTATAAAAATTGGTATGGGAGAGATAGTAGGAACTGCAGATGCTGGAGAATCCGAGACAACAAGGTGCAGGGCTGGATGAACACAGCAGGCCAAGCAGCATCATAGGAGCAGAGAGGCTGACGTTTCGGGCCTAGACCCTTCTGATGAAGGGTCTAGG